CTGTTGTAACTGTAGTGCAGAGTTTGTACAAGAAAACAAAACTATATACCATGTATAGTCATTTGTATTAAACCCATACACGTGTAAAAACTACATTTACAGTAGCTCCTCAGTAAACATGTGACCTCGTCCTCCATGATGTGTCTGTCCTTCCACTCTGTAGAAGATTACAGTAACAAACAGTGTGGGTGTGTGCAGTATAAACTACACACGTTCTTCACAGTTGGATGTATTGTACAGTATACTAACCATCCATTCCCACAATGCAGTGCAGTAAATTGGTGGCTACAGTAAGACCTATAAATGTTTATGCAACACAATGTAGTAATACGTATTATACAGTAATGCTGAAGGAGCAGTAAGATAAACCTGATCACACCTGATCTCATCTGATCATACCAGTTTTCATTCCTGGTGGATGCCCCTGTAAACAGACTCATGTTGGGGTGGACTCTCAGTCCAGCCTCTGTCATAGTTACAGTACATCATTCACATTTCATTGTTGTGTCTGAACATTTTTTACTCTTTATTTTCTTTTTCTAAAGTCAGTCAGATTTTTATCAAAACATCAAAACATTTGGAGTCTAAGTCTTGAAGCTCTGGTGAAAAGGTTTAATTCATTAGTGACAATGTTGAAGTGACTGACTGACTGACTGTGATTGTTTTAGAGGCTTTTGCACTGGTGATTTAGTGTTTAGGAGAAATGATGAACTGCTCTGAGAACTGCATTAAGAGTTGTGAGAATGATTTTACTTATGTGTGAATTGCATCAAAGCAATGGAGAAAAACTGAAAGTGTGGGAAGTGTCTGCTGAGGCCAGTGACAGGTCAAAGAAACACCACTCATCTTCCAGAGTTTGATTTTACATCCCATATGTCTGATGCTGCCCTGTGACCAGTGTGCCACCCAGAGGTTGAATAAAGTAATACGGTCTGATACATGATAACCAGTAGGTGGCAGTATATCAATTCTAGTGTACTCACTATAGGAGGGGGGGGTTCCTGTCAGAAACGGGGGGGGGGGGGGGTGTTAACTATAAGCCTTATCAAAGAGGACAGTTGTAATAAACACAGATTTATTCTTCTCACTCTTCAATGTTCTTATAAAACACAAAAGCATCTAATGAGAAAATTCATGTTGGGAGTGAAAGGATAGAAACTGTATACAGTTAACAATGACCTGCAAGTATTTCCCTTGGTATGTTACTGATTTAAAAGCTGAGGGCATGTTGGTCTTTAAACCTTACTCGTTATTTCATGAACATAAAACATTTGTTAAACATTAAACAGTAATTGCAGCATTGAATGAATGAGTTAATACGTCATATGTAGATAAGTTCTCACTTCATTATTGTTACAGTGCACAAATGGGTGAGGGGCAGAGCTGGGGCTGGAATCATTTCCAAATATGTCAAATAAAATCTGTGAATAAATTTGTAATTGATCATTTGATATTAAGATTTTGGCCACATTTTCCCAAACACTCTTCCCATTAATCATCTCTGCTTATTCTTTAAGTCAACACTCCACACCTTGGTCACACCCATTGACAGACATGGTGAAGTATTCTGCTTTGAGGTCGTGTGGCAGTGACACAGAAGGACTGGACTCCACTAAATATCAGCAGATTCTGGATACAAATGTCCTGTAGTCAGTCAAAGTCAAAAGAACTCCTAACCTGCTCCGGATCAGATCAAAACCTGTCAACAGCCAAATCAGATACCTGGAAAAACTGAGCCATCATTGCTACAGGATCCTGACAGGGACAAAAGAGTTTACAATAAAGTAATAAAGATGAAAGTAGATATTTATATAAATCAGTCGAGTTGTTTTGCTGTTTGTATCTTTCCACACTGGTTTTACAAAAACAAACAGAGGAGAGTTTATCACTAAATAACCACATCTCAACTATTAGAGCTTCATTTGATCTGACACAGATTCTTTAATCCGACAGGATTCCTGACAGTGATGAAGCTTTTACTCTCTTCTTCATCACTGCAGCTCAGAACAACATGAGGAGAAATAAAAAAGAATGATCCACACACTGTTCAATATTTCCATGATTATAAATGAACATTTCAGTCGTTCTGACTCATCAGACATCAACTACTTCTCTCTTTTCTTTCTCTCCTCTCTGCAGCAGAAACCATCTGACATTTACTTTAACTGTTTGTTCAATGTTCATAACAGTTTGTTCATCATCAGACCAAAGAAGAAACTTAATGATAATTCATGCTCTCTTTGCACATTATCATTAGCCTGAATTTAATAATTAGAAATTATTTCTAGTTTCTAGTTATTTCTAATGTGTTTCTTTTTTATTCTAGTCATGTGATCACATTGTTTACAGTTCACCTTGGTGTTTGTTTTTTTTTATCTTGCTGAGCTGTAAAGAGAATTTCCTCTTGTGATCTGAGCTGAACTGAACTTTTTTGTTTTAATGATCCAGAATGAGTTTTTCTTTACATTTGAAGGTTACTGGTAGAGACTCAATAAAGACATGGCCGTGCAGCAGTGTACTGTATCATGTGCCATTACTCAAGACTTCACACAGCAATTATGACACAATTTCACACAAATGTTTAATATTTTATATGACTCTGGATAAACAGGGACGTAACCTGAAACTACTCCTAGTGGAGGAGGTGAGGCAGTAATTCTAGTAGTTTTTATTTATTGTTCATTTATAACACTGTATATGTTGGGATATTAGTTTTATTATCTGTGAAGCTCACATTTCTCTGTGTAGACCGGACGTCCAGGCAACAGAGAGTCAGAAACTTAAACTCTTCTTCTTCATCCCCAGTGGAAAAAGCATCAGCAGCACTGAGGTTATGTTACATTACAGTGTGTGACTGACTGTCATAGACTGTAACTAATTCCTTATTCAGCCAATGATTCTTCATCATATGATGAATGGAAGGTGATTCTGTCAGATTATACTGAGACAGACAATCAGTGTAAAGAAGAATGAGTCAGTGGATAAAGTCATTATTGGTGTTTCCAGGAGAGAGGTGATGTGTGATGAGATGTGTATCACATATCTATCTTTACACTTTATATCACTGAGGTAAACAATCACTTCAACCATAGTAAATGAATCTAAATGTAGTTGATATGAACACATCAGTGGATACTGAAGTAGTACTACAGTGGGGTTTCCTGCGATGATGCTCCAGTCACGTATCACCCACGCATCAGGCATGTGAGGATCCTCACGTAGGCCTAGAGCTGCACTGAGGGTGGGTTGATTAAGCCCTCAGCTCTGCCTTACAGGCAAACATCCCTTCTATTGTAACTGGTAACAGAGATGATGAGCCAACGTTAAGCACTCTGTTCAGTGTGAGGCCATTAACTCCTACAATAAATGCATTTCCTGTCCCATAACATGTTCAAAGCCCTACAGTCAGCTGTAGAGAGCACTCAGACATCAAACTTATCATATCTGATTATTGTATCTCATGGGTACGAATGAGTTTTCCATAGTGTAACCTTATTGGTTTAAAGTGTAATGACAGCCTTCCTCTCTTCTCTCAGTGCTTTTGTACTAGAATGTTTTAAAACCCCTGTGAGCTTAACAAGATGTCTTCCATGTGATGTAACACACCTGCCTCAAAAGGCAACAACAGCTGAGAACAGCTGACTTCTCCTCTTCACTTAGTCAATACCTGGCTGCCTTGTCAGTGTTTAACAGCTAGTTAACTTGTCCTCATTTTACTGCATATTTTTATCTGTGATTTATCAGTTTATCAGCCATTTATCATCTTGAACTTGAACTCAAAGCTGTTAAATTTGTCATTGTTGTGGTATCTATCTGTTAATAACAGTGATTTGCACATTATTTATTTTGCATTACACTTCAACTATCTTTAGTTCAACTGCTTTCAGCACTATCTACAGGATTTAAACTTGAAACTGAAATGTCAAATGTTTTCAGCGATTACACTTTCCTTTGCTTTCTAGCCTGGCATCACCAGATCTGTTTGCATTAACAAACAGGTCTGGAACCTCCCTGTTTGTTTTGGGTTACCTCAACAGTCACAGACAAAAAATTAGTTTGTTTTTAGCAATCAGAGTAACAAAATGTCTGCTCTTTACTTGCAGTCATTTGTTCTCATCTTAGAGAAAATATTCCATCCACTTTGTTTAATACTGCCACAACAGTGGATTCAACAGACCTCTCCACACCATCCTGGTTGTTAAGGAAAATGCTCCTCTGTCAGTCATCGTATCAAACCCACCCCTTTTTAGGTAAATAGCTGTGATTGGTCTGACGTGTCTCAGGACAGATAGAAATCTGTCTGAGCAGGAGGTGCCTCCATGACATCAAGAAGTTCAGAGTTAGCTGCTCAAACAGTTGTCATGAAGGAGGAAATTAGCTCTAGAGACCAAAACTGTTTTTGTACCAGGCTGTAAACATGTTCATTTCTGCTGTAAAGTTGGACATTTTAACATGGGAGTCTATGGGGACTGACTCACTGTTGGTGCCAGACTCTAATGGTCATTAGAGGAACTGCAGGTTTTGGTAGTTCAGTGTTGGCTTCACGTTTCAGCCTCAGACTGCGCTTCAGACCCATCTGTGAGAGTGAATAAACATGACCTCATTGATTGGTCTGGTTTCCAGACTAAAGTACTCTCAGCTCTTTAACTGCACTTCACTTCCTTTCAGTGCTTCCACTTCTACTGACACTTTTAATCCATTAACTCATACTGCAATTAATATACATGCAAATAACTCACAGTTACAGACAGATTAAATTTGATAAGGATCTCTAGGAGACTTAAGACGGAACTAGAAGACCTGCTCAGAGCTGTTTGGCAGGATTTTCACCGGTTACCTGTAAGACAAGGAAGAGGGTAAATTTTACCCTCTTACCAGCATCATCGTCCAGCCCGTCAAAGCCCGACGACACAACCAGACATCCTCCTACTGAAGGAAACCTTGCGTCAGCCAGATGAACACTGCGTTCTGATTGGAGGACGCCCGCCGTGACCACGCCCCTCTGCCGCTGCCCTGTTCGTCCTTCTCTCCGTCTCCATCTCTGTTCTGTTACAACAGCAGCTTCCTGCATCTGTGTGCTTTCTTCTGTGACTGCGGAGCAACATCCTGGTGAGTTTCATTTATTGATGAATCCAGAGTTTAAAACAGGAGCTGAGGAGAGGAAGCTTCACTCCTGTTCATCTCTTATAGAGTTTATTAGTCCAGCCTGTCACGTTACTTATTGTATCTATCCAGTATTTATGTTGCTGCTTTGATATTGATGTTATTATTGGAGTGAACAGACCTACTGTGGTCTAATAAAACGGAATCTGTTTGTGCTGAAGTTCCTCTGGGTCCTGGTGGTCATTGGGAACTCCCAGTAGAACTCAAAGTCGTTCAGATGGCTTGACAAGGACGCGGAAGTGCAGTCATGAGAGCCGCTTTCTAATAGCCTAACGCGGATGTTACTCTATTATAATTTCAAGTAGAAGCAGTTGTTGAAAAGTCAGTAACTTTCTCTAAAAGTCCATCAGTAAAACTGCGGACAGGAGTGCTCCACAGTAAAGTGGTCAGAAGTAAGAAGTAAAGTCAGAAGTAAAGTAAAGTTACTCCTCGCGAGTCATGACGCATTCATTTCTTGTGAAAGCGGTCCGTGGATTCCTCCAGGGCTGCTGGTGAAGGTCTCGGGTCCTTGGCGAGTGAACAGGACTTCTGTAAATGACTTTAAGGGGTTTTTCAGAACTCTGATGGTTTCCTCTGATTAAATGTCAAGAACCACGATGTGAAACTACTTCATTACAAGCCAAAGTCCTGACACTAAAACAACACTAATGTAAAAGTATCAAATATATAAAAGTATCATATATATATATATGTGCATTACATACAGTACATATTATATATGTATTACACACATATATATTAATGTTGTGGCTGATCGATGTATAGACACTTTAAATCTGGGACGTCCTGATAGTTAAATAGTTACAGGTAAACCACACAGCTGCAACATCTGTATTTCACTTTGTTTCATATCATACCTCTGTCTCTGTCTCTCTCTCTCTCTCGCTCTCTCTCTCTCTCTTTCTCTCTTTCTCTCTTTCCTGTCTGTTTCTACACTACTCTATCCAATAAAGTTGAAATGAAAAAAATAAAAGTTTAAAAGCTCTAAGCAGTTACAAAGAGTTGTGTGGTCTCTCCTGACTTTTCCTTTTCAGATGTGGAATATATAGTGGAGACATCTTCTTCTGTGTCTGTCAGACCAATATATGGAGTTACTCAAGAATAAGTGTTTTCTTTCCTCTCTTGTCTCCATCACAGTCAATATGACTCATGCGTATCCCTTCCTGAGTGCTGAGCAGAAGAAGGAGCTCAGTGACATCGCTCAGAGGATCGTGGCGCCTGGGAAAGGCATCCTGGCAGCTGATGAATCCACAGGTACGGCAGACACACTGTGTGACCTGCAGAGAGGGAGGAGGTGCTGATGAATGGCCTGTACTAGGATCACACTCATCCTGTTAACCACCATGATCAACCACAGTCCAGTTCAGTAACTCAGTAGAAACAGAATATCTACAGCATCTGTGTGCTGGATGTGTAGAGCTGAAGATACTAGAATTCATTTTAAATTTAAAGTGTTCTGCTAGAAATATAAAAGCACATACAAATGTATTCTGCCCTCCATTTTTGGACGCACTATCATGCACATCAGCAGGGCCGATATCATTGGATTAGTTTAACTCATCAAAGACGTACAAAAGTATAAATCAGTATCGACACAGAAAGAAACCGTAACACAGAAACGTTTGCAGAAACGTAAAGTGTGAGTGACTCTGGCAGGTTCATATTGACACTGTAAAATGTCCCACTCACTACACTTTAGTCACGTACAGTTTTAAGGTGTCCTTATAGTGCAGCAAATAACTGTAATAATCTCTCAAATGTGGATACAAGAATCAAAATTGGCATTTTATCCTCCTGAGACCATTAATTTGAAAATTTTCATTTCATTGAAATTTCTAAAGGGCAGCATTTTTCAAGATCGCTGCCATTTCCAGGATAGGGAAAACATATTTAACCACAGAGTTTTATCCATTGGACAGATTTCAATGAGTTTGCTATTGAATCCTACGTTTTTGATTATAAGGATATCAAATTCACAATTCACAAATACCAGCCATCTTGGAAATGGTGGCCATCTTGAATTTTTGAGTGGCTAACGTGGAGGATTTGTGCCAAGTTTAATACTTGCATCCACATTTGAAAGATTTCTCCTGAAATATACAGTTATCTGCTGCACCATTATCAAACGTATTTCTTTAGGTCATGTGTTTATGAAAAAAAAGATTTTTGACCAATATATAGTTTTGTATTTATTTAAACCCTCAAATATCTATATGAGTCATATTCCTGGGCTCAAATGTTGGTAGAATAAACATTTGTTCATCAGTGGAGGACAAAATAACAGAAACACTAAAGAAAATGATAACACTACTTTAAGAAGAACTCTGAACTGACAGTTTGAAGGTTTCACAATGTGTGTGTGTTTGTGTGTGTGTAGCCATGTCTGTGATCATTACAACATTTTGAGATGTCACGTTTGATTGACACATCCTCTTCAGCTATGCAACACAAATGACTACAGTGAGCTTTAATAATGTCAGTGTGTTGATGTGGATGAGAATTTTTGGACTTTGAACAAAGATCCAGCCATGACACTAGTCTGAGTGTCTGAACCTGCACTTCCTCTAATGACAACTAGGTAATCCATCCACAGAAATCAACATGTTTATTTCTGCTGTAAAGTTGGACATTTTAACATGGGAGTCTATGGGGATTGACTCACTGTTGGAGCCTGACTCTAGTGGTCATTAGAGGAACTGCAGCTTTTGGTTCTTAAGTGCTGGGTTGCAGCTCTGGAGGTTGATGCTTGGTATCCATTCAGAAACTCCCAACTTCTCTGGCACAATATTTTAATTATTAATTTATGTGATGTGATTTTGATTTGATTTATTATTATTATTATTATTATTACTATTGTTATTGTTATTATTATTTTATTGTTAATTATTCCCAACCTGTTCTCAGGACCTGCCAAGGAGTTGCATGATTAATCTGAGAGCTTTCCAGATGATTAACAGGTAGAAGAGGAGAAGAAGCTTTTTCTCATGAAATACTGAAGAGGTTTACTTCTTTTTAAGTATTTAAAAGAATGAGTCTCAGACTACAACATCTCTCTGTGGTTGAACTAATCACAGCCGATAGAAATAACCTGCGATTAGAAAAGTCAGAAGAAAACAGGAAAGATTTGGTGGAGGTATCTAGTCCCTACATCGTTTACGCCCCAAACACACTTAGACCTGCCCTGGCTGGTAAATGCTCACATCCTTTGAACTCAAGTTTCTAAAGTGGCGTTTCCATTTAAAGTCTTCTTCCCATGTCCTGTCTCCAGGCAGCATGGCCAAGCGCTTCCAGAGCATCAACGCAGAGAACACGGAGGAGAACAGGCGCCTTTACCGCCAGCTCCTCTTCACCGCCGACGAGCGGGTCAACCCCTGCATCGGCGGCGTCATCTTCTTCCACGAGACGCTCTACCAGAAGACGGACAACGGCAAGCTCTTCCCCCAGCTGGTCAAAGAGAAGGGCATGGTGGTGGGCATCAAGGTGGACAAGGGCGTGGTTCCCCTCGCTGGCACCAACGGAGAGACGACCACTCAAGGTACAGAGGTGAACATAGAAAAGGGTATTGATTACTGATTGGATTTGCTGTCATCAGGATGATAGTGGAGGATGCTACATATTCACAGTGGACACAGAAAAACAGAATCAACACATTTTCAAGCTCAAAGCTATTTGCTCATGGCTGATCCACAGTGATTTGGACCAATCACTGTTTTTTTATCCCATTATCTCAAGATAACAGAGCTTCTTATCCTGACAGAACGGGATAATTGTCCCGTTATCTCCAGATAACAAAGCTTGTTTTCTCATTATAATTACTTACAATCAGAGATCAGATGCAGATGGAATCTTGTAGTGCTGTAAAGTGAAAATGTCAGGATGACGAATTGATGTGTCTTTTCATAGATCATTTTCACATCAGTCCTCCTCGTCAGCTAACAAGTTACTAAGGATTGCTGCTAAGGAGGCGTATTACTGTGACTTAGTGTATGAGGTTCACTCAAAATCATTTTCTCCTGATAATATCTTGTCTCAGGATAACGAGCTTTGTTATCCTGACATGTCTTTCTGTCTTTATCATATCTTTATGAAGACGACACGAATCTTCTCCCGATAAGCTAACTAGCTTTCAAAGCTCCTCAGACTGCGGTTTGTTGTTGTGTTTCCTCTTCTGCGCTCTCCTACTACACCATATGATGGACAGATGTTTCATCCAATCACCTGCCAGCAGATAATACCTACTTAAAGCCTCAGTGTGAGAGGAGTAGTAGACCAGAAGCGCATTCACCTATTGATTGACAGCTGTTTTAAAGCTCCCACCACCTGACTTTGGCCTTCTCTGATTGGTTAAAAGGGCAAATATCTCTGTACTGCTGCCAGGCTTTTCAGTTAGTCTGGATCACAGAAGCCTCTGATAGCACCTCTCCACTCTCAGATATGTTTTGGATCATATTTCAACATAAAGAAATACTAGAAAACAGTTACATACTGCAGCTTTAATTAAAGGTTTTGCCCACAGGACAGGCGCATCCTGATTAGCTGATTTTTCCACAGCTTTCCAATAACCTCATGTTGTTTTCTCTATAGTGAGACTGCAGGTGTCTGTTTGTGTTTAAGTAGGAAACATCTCTGTGACAGTGCTCCCCCAGCAGAGACCTCTCAGCCTCCTCTTCCTGCTTCCTGTCTCATAAATGTCCACAGCTTATCTCATGTCTTACATCTGCTGTCTGTCTCTGTCTCTGTCTCTGTCTCTGTCTCTGTCTCTGTCAGGTCTGGACGGGCTCTATGAGCGCTGTGCTCAGTACAAGAAGGATGGTGCTGATTTTGCCAAGTGGCGCTGCGTGTTGAAGATCACCCCCACCACTCCCTCCCAGCTGGCCATCATTGAGAACGCCAACGTGCTGGCCCGCTACGCCAGCATCTGCCAGATGGTTAGACACACACACGTACACACACACATACACACACACACACACACACACACACACACACACACACTCATATACAACTCGCATTCAGCCTGCTTCCTCAGTGCAGTGATGTAACACAAACAGCTGTTACAACACTCACTGCACTGTTGGCCCATCTTCTTCTCTTCCATCTAACTGTTGGTACACAAGTCACAACCTCAGGAGAGGAAGTGCTCCTGTCTGTTGTCATGACGCTGGTCGCTGTGTTCTCTCCCACCCATCACTTAACATTCTCCCTCACTGCCCTCCCCCCAGCACGGCATCGTGCCTATTGTGGAGCCTGAGATTCTCCCAGACGGTGACCATGACCTGCAGCGCTGCCAGTATGTGACTGAGAAGGTGAGTGAAGCTGATCCTGAGAATAACAACAGCCTGTCATTGTGGTCCACGTCTAATACGACAGAGAGGATACTAATGTGACTCTAACAAACAAATGCAGACAAACAAATCTGTGCAGGAATTTGGTAAAAAAAAAAAAGATTGTTGCACCATCTCATTCACCGCTGCCTGCACACTGCCTGCACCTAGACATGTGAGAACTTGTGCATAGTTTCACTTTAATTTCTTAGTTGTTTTGAGGACCATGATAGTCGTATATCTGCTGCTTCATCGATGTATATGTCGAAACAGCATTAAAACAGCTGTCAAAGCAGCATAAGAACATATGTGAAAAGAAAAACATTTGTCAGGAAGCTCTGGATGTTATTGTTTGGCATGTCTAGACCTGCTTCACTAAAGAAACTCATCCAACAAGAGTGTTCATTGTCCTCTTTCTGTGCACCAATTTAGTATCAGGGTAATATCAGAATCATTCTCTGCTGTTTTAGTTTAGATTCCATTCTTCAAAAATATCTTTTGGCCTGGGTTATATTCTCAACTACTGTCAGGATAAAATATTATTGAAATCACAATATGGCCAAGTGCAATATCCAAATTGCAAGAGACACCCAGCTGAAAAATCATATTCTCCAGATGTTTGTTTGATACAGAGAAAATCAAATGATGACCTTTACATCTGACATCATGACTCGTATCACAATTACAATATGATTTTTTTTGCATATTGTTCAGCCCTGTACAATGGTACGTGTCCCGCTGCCTGTGTCATGCACATTTTGTACCTCAGCCGTTGACGTCACTGTACATCTTCTTCTCCTACTGTTGACACAACACTCAGGTCACGCTGCCCCTCACGTCACAGACCTCCACTTCAGAACAACATGATTAAGAGTCTACAGCCATGCAAGTGACTCTTTGGCATTAGCACAGCAGTGCCAGAGCTAAATGCTAATATCGACATGCTAACATGCTCAAACTGACAGTAGCCTATGTTGATTTTAAGCAGTACTGCTAAACACAAAGTACAGCTGCCCTGGGAGAACCACATGGATCTCCCAGGGTTTTCCCATGTTTTCCACGTTTCCTACATTTGATCACGTGTCACATGGTACCACATGCTGCAGCAAATAACATTTTCAACAAGTGCAGTAATGTGAGTGACAAACATGCAAACAAACAAACATACATGTATGTAATCCCAGAGGTTTCACATGGTAATTAACATGGGCTTCACACGTTCACACATGTTTTCACGTGTTAAATTCCACATGTGAAACTCATGGTTCTCTGTAAGGGTGAGATCACTAGAGTCAGTAGGATTCATCCTCTAGGGATGGTGAATGTCTGTAACTTTTGTGTTCATCTATCCTGCAGTTGTTGAGGTGTTTCAGTCTGGACCAGAGTGGTGCACCGACTGACCAACACTGTCAGCTGTCTGCTTTTAGCCACACTGGCCGCTTGGGAATATACATAAATGCAATATCCTAGGTCCAGTAACACAACCATTTATGTGAATGAACCTTTAATCTCAGCAGTAGTTCCTGGAGGTTCAGTTCTTACACATAGTGACTTTACAAACCCACAGCAGTGCTCCCTCAGCGCAGCAGAGTCTTTGAGTGTCTATGAAGTGTCATTGAGACTAGATGAAGATAAGTGTCCCTCGCTCTCAGGTGCTGGCCGCTGTCTACAAGGCTCTGTCTGACCACCATGTCTATCTGGAGGGCACGCTGCTCAAACCCAACATGGTGACCGCTGGACACTCCTGCCCCAAAAAGTACAAGCCTCAAGAGATTGCCATGGCAACTGTCACTGCCCTGCGGCGCACCGTACCCCCGGCTGTGCCAGGTGAGATGGATGGGCATATATATGTATATGTATATGTATATGTATATATATATATATATATATATATATATATAAACACACACACACAGTTATAACAGGTACATGTTATTTCCACCTACAGGTGTGACCTTTCTGTCCGGTGGTCAGAGTGAAGAGGAGGCCACCCTCAACCTGAACGCAATCAACCAGTGTCCCCTGCACCGGCCCTGGGCCCTCACCTTCTCCTACGGCCGGGCCCTGCAGGCCTCAGCACTGAAAGCCTGGGGGGGCAAGAAGGAGAATGGCAAGGCCTGTCAGGAGGAGTACATCAAGAGAGCCCTGGTAAGGAGGGAGGAGGAGGAGGAGGAGAGAGATGGACAGACGGTAGATGATGTTTACCAGAAAGGAAAAAGACAGAGTATCTGGTGAAAGCAGGGAATAACATGAATGTGGAAACAGTGTCAGACCACACAGGTCTGGTCAGGGTTACACAGAGTTACACAAGTGTTCATGTTACAGATCACAGCTCATTTTTGATCTTGAATTTTTTTTTCATATCTGGAGGGAAAACTGAACCGTGAACTACAGCAGGTGTAGCACGTAGCTATAGCTTTAGCTCTTTTATCATCTCAGTATTTCAGCCCAATAACAAAAGACCAGCTGCTTCAGGAAGCTGGCTTTTACCTTGAACTCATTTGATTAATGTCACATTTGTTTAGTTACATGCAGCACTAAAGCAAAGTGTTGACTGATATGATAAGAACCTTAAGGTTGCTGCTGCACATTTGCTTGATCTTATTAAAGGGCCCGGTGTGTCAGAACTACTTTAAATACCTTTTCACATTGTGTTAACATAATAAATTTTCTTTGTATAATCTTATATAATCTGATGTATAATCTTTATCTGCAAAGTAACTTCAGTATTTTCCTCTGAGCAGCAGAGTACAAGTATAAAGAAGCAGAAAATTGAAATACTTAAATACAAAAGTAGCTCATGTAAATGGTTTTTCAGTCCGTTATTCGGTTCCACACAAGTTATATAAAATCATGACAATGTTGATGTTGAACTTCTGACAAATATAATGAAAACCTGAGCTCAGCTTGTCTTGGTGTTTGTCCACAGAACAACAGCCAGGCAGCTGTGGGGAAGTACGTGTCCTCTGGAGACAAGGGAGCGGCAGCTCAGGAGTCTCTGTTTGTGGCAGACCACGCCTACTGAGGTCAGCACAGCGGCCCGACCTCAGCGCCCAGCTGCAACCACCCCCACCCCGATCCCCACCCCTCAGCGCACTTCATCCGCATTCCACTGTCACTCCACTGCTTCCTGTCACAGCAACAGGCAGCAGTCTCCTGAGTCACATATGTTAATCAACATGATTCCTAACGAGTTCCTGATAAAGAAACATTATGATTTGAAAAAGATCCAAGTATAATAAATGCTCCACGTGTGTCCTACCTTTGAGTTTGACTTGTAAAGTCAGTGTTACTGTACTGAACCAGTGTGTTGTCACTTTATTTCGTGTTTGTGCACTTAAACCCCAGAGAAAGAGAGGGTTCCTCTACAGCGTCGTCCTCCTGTAGTTTGATGTCACATCGACACGTCTCTGACATTGTCGTAATACTTCATGTGCCTTCATCTGTCACCTGAACCAGCCGCTGGAGAGAGACTTTGTAGAGCATGTTATGATGCATGGACAGTATTCACTCAACCTTTATTTAAACCTTGAATCTCTTAAAATAGAATAATTCAAACAGCAGAACAGTTAAAAACTAGTGTGCTTTTCCAAAATTCACTGTTTCTGTACAAATGTCCAGTTTCTTGTCATAGCTGACACGTGTGCTAATGTGAAAGTTATTGATCCAAGCTGCCCTCTCAATACTGTGTCTGTTCAGAGTGGTACTTTACATCATTTCCTCAATCTCTCTGGCTCAATATTTACTCTTGTTTATATTTAGTCTTGTTTGAATTCAGGACTGATTTCAAATCAAAAAAGTATTAGAGTGTAAACACTGGAAAGAATTTCAAATTAAAAGATTCCACTTATAATTTTGTTCTGTGTTGTTTTGATCAGTTTGGATATATTTATTGATTTCAATCATTTATGTCAAACTTCCTCTGAATGCCTCACATCTCATCTTTGTCCTTAACGGGGCTGTTGGTGACACCATGTTAGGTTGAAGACCCAGAGCACAACAACACGGCCAACATTATTAAAGCAATATTCTCTGTAAAGCTGCCATAGAATAGCAGTGGGTTGTTGAAGCATTCAGAAAGTTTTCAGACCCCTTCACTTGTTCACATTTTGTTATGTTACATTTTTTTTCCCTCATCAATCTCCACATGATAAAACACCATAATGACAAAGTGAACACAGAACTTTAGAGAATTTTGCTGATGTATTCAAAAGAAGAAAGTGAAATATCAGAGTGACATAAGTATTCGGACACTTTCCTTGAAGCAGCTTGGTCAGTGACTACAGACTCTAGTCTTCTTGGGTCTGACGTCACTGTCTTTGAACATCTGGATTTGTGGATTTGCTCCGTTCTTCTCTGCAGATCTCAGACTCTGACAGGTTGGTGGACAGATGTTTTCAGGTCTCAGGTCAAATGCTGGATTGGTTTCAGGTCAGGACTTTGTCTGGTCCACTGGGGGACATTCACAGATTTGTCTCTAAGCCTCTCCTGTGGTGTCTTGGCTGTGTGAACCTTCAGTCCGAGGTCCTGAGCTCTGGACCAGGTTGTCAGTGACCAGTCTCCCTGTCCCCCCATAGCCTGATGCTGCCTCCACCATGCCTCAGGGTTGGGATGGTGTTGTTCAGCTGCGGAACAGTACCTGGTTTCCTCCAGACCTGAATCTGAGAACTGAGACCAAACAGTTCAGTCCTGGTCTCATCAGACCAGAGAATCTGGTTTCTCTCAGTCCTTTAGCTGCTTCTTTACAAACTGTCACTGAGGAGAGGTTCTATCTAGACTCTCTGACATGAAACCCAGATCAGTGGAGAGCTGCAGTGATGGTTGTTCTTCTGGAAGTTTCTCCACACAGGATCTCTGGAGCTCAGAGAGACCATCAGGGTCTTGGTCTCCTCTCATCTCTGATTCCTCAGTCTGGCTGGGTGGCCAGCTTTGATGTTTGTAATTGCTCCAAACGTTTTCCATTTAAGAACTTCAAGACTGCAGACCTCCACCAAGGCTAATATTTAACAACATACACCAGACTTCAGAGAAAAAAATTCAAATCTGCCCCAAACTTTAATTGGTTCTTCTCTGGTCCAGGTCTCATCCCTGCATCAAATCAGTTCAGAACTTTTTGAGTATTCCTACTGACAAATGGACACAGGAGAAAATATAAGCTCCTTAGCCTTAGCTGAGTTTACCACAGGTGGACCCCAACATCTCAGAGATGATCAAGAGAATGGAGGAAACTGGGTATCATAGCAACGTGTCTGAATATTTGTGTCAATGTGATATGTCAGTTTTTAAACTCTGTTTTCACTTTGTCATTGTGGAGGATTGAGTGTAGACTGATGAGGGAAAAATGATTTAAATGATTTAAAGCATAAAACTGCAACATAAACAGATCTCTGCACACCAACATGAAAACATCCTCCCACAGGTGAAGCAGGGTGGAGGGAGCGTCATGATCTGGGTCTCTGCTGCCTCTGGACCTGTTTATCAAGGTCTCTTCCAGGATCATGTCAGGGTGTCTGTCCACCTGCTGAAGCTGAGGAGAAGCTGCTGATGCAGCAGGACAATGACCCTGAACATCAGAGTAAATCCACCTTCTGGAGCGGGCCAGTCAGAGCCCAGACCTGAATCCAGTAGAGATGCTGGTTTCAGGTTATTGGAGCCAAATGAGGTTCAACCAGTTATTAAATCCAAGGTTCACTGACTGTTTCCACCACAGCAGTGAATGTTTAATGGCTGTGTTCAATAAAGACACAATGGATTGTAATTATTTGTGATATCAGTTCAAGCACATTGTGTTTGTCTACATTTGTGACTTAGATGAAGATCAGATCACAGTTTATGACCAGTTAATACAGAAAACCGTGTCACTGACGTCTTCTAACCTGTTCATTGGAGACATCAGAGCTCCATCCTTCCTCATATTTGGCCCAAATCAATAAGTTCCAGTCTCCTGTTGGTTGAATATTATACTGAAAAAAGGGCTGAGTATAAAAACAACCAGTGAGTTTATGTTTTGGTAGGTGTTTTTATTTTAAAAGGTTGTTTCTGTTAATGAGGCCTCCATCATGTGTAAGCAGAACAAAGTGCATCTCCTACCAGTAACTTACAGCATAAGTGCTGCACTATCATCAAAAAAACATTTTCATCCTGTTCAAACCACCAGACTAACAAAAGGCTTTACTCCCCACATCGTCGATAGGGACGACAGAGATCATCAGAGAACATCAGAGTCTTTACATTGTAGGTGGGATGGTTGGGGTGGGGTTGGGTTGGTGTTGATGTGTGTCTGTGGCTGACAGCAGAGTCAGGGTGCAGACTATGAAGAGGACTTCCTCCTCACATGTTGGTGCTCATCCTGGTCTGGCTGTTGGCTGGTGTCAGTTCACCCTGGCTGCCTTCTCTGGGTGGAGACTGAGGAGAGGAGGCGACATGAGTGAGGCACTCTGACAAGTGTTTACTGTTTAATATCAGTGCAGTGTTCATCATTTTAAATCATCAATATAGTTGTTAAATGAACTGGCATCAGTATTTTGGTATAATCAGGATTCACAAATGAGAGCATGTAGAGAAGCCTCTTCTTCACACAGACACAGCTTGGTGTTTTCCTCCACACTTTGACTTGTATCAGTTCACTTCAACATGTGATGGACGACTGGAGAGCAATGCACCATGTTAATGGTAAATATATAGAAATAAATTCATAATTTTGAGCATCATGGGTTCTTCTTGACCATTGAAATAACAACTAAGAAAAAAAACCTGAACTCAAGGTCCAGTACTTTTTCCACTGGTAGTATTGTTGTGATGTACTCGTGACTTACAGCCAGTTAAACCATTCGTTAACAAGCAAACATCATCATAAACATGTATGAACATGACAGAACTTCATGTATTTCAGGTCACTGATTGTGGTTGCTTTTCTATTTGTGTTGTACCTTATATAAAAGGGACACACATCACCTTCAGTTTACACACATTGAGGATCACTGCCTCATCTTCTGTGTCTGAGTGAGCTCAGTCAGGTCTGAGACAATAACCCTGATGTCAGGCTGCGCCCTGACAACTACAGAATACGGTGTTGTGCCCTCCACTGTACAGATTCTAACCACTCTTTATTCAATCTGTGCATTCCAAAATTGCTGGATTATCCCTTAACATAAATGTGTTACAGTCATGATTCCTGACACGATTCCCCATTCAAACTGACCACACTCTCTGGTTCACTAAACTCAACAAAACCAGTGCTTCAGCTGTGAGACTCGTCAGGATGCCACACCAGATAATTATTAAGCTTCAACAGTCTGATGTCATCTGTCTCAGGTGTCCACATGTCCTAATACATGGAAATATCTAACAACAGTGTTTCCGTGTTAAAGATCCTTCCTGATGTGTCTTATGACAAAATACTCTCATAATGAGTTGAACCTGATAGTTTTACCTAGAGATGGACAATTAATCAAAATATAATTGAGATCCCAATATGGCCAAGTGCAATATTCAATTCACAGGAGCTGTAATTTTCTTGATAAAGCTAAAATGTGTCACATGTTGTTCATTGTTAGCACCATAAGTGTTGTGGTGCTACAGAGACGCCCCATCATCATATTCTCCAGACATAAAGGAAACATGTTTGTTTGGTACAAGACTCAACAAAAATCATATCATTATCATTTTTAGAGTTTTTTTCAGTGAAAATGCAAAAACGATCAGTCCAACTGAAATCACAATCTCTGCCCAAAAAATCCACGATTTTTTTTTTTTTTTTGCATATAGTGCAGGCCTTATTACAATGACAAGAAATCCAACATTCCAGTAACCTGTAAACTCTATGTAGAGAAACAGAGTTGCAGCAGCAGCGACGCAGCTGGTGTGAACACACACACGTGTGATTCTCCACAGATGGACAGCGACGGAAGCCACCACGCTCACACAAAACAGGCAGTGTGTTCCCAGCTTCAGGATTACCTCAGAGTCCGTGTTCAAACCATTGACTGTCACATTGAACAATACTTACAGTGAAGTCTCAACATGAGAATGAATTCACCACTTTGTCGGGGTGGTTTTCTAACTGTTAAATATTGAACTGCTGCTGAGAAGAATAACTTCAGTAGAAGCTGTGATGAAGAGGGGTAAAAACTTTTTTTTTACCTTGACATGGATCTGGTTGCGCAGCACAGCAGCTCTGAGGATCATGGCTTTGGCCCGTCTCTGGAACTCTTTGCCCATGTGGAGCGACTTCTCAAACGTTGTGCTCCTCTGGTCCACATCCCTTGCATAGAGAATCTACCAAAGAGTAAGAGAAGCAGTTTGTAATGATTCCAATGAGATGACTCATTTCCAACACTGTCGTCGTCTGTGTGGGTTTCTCACCTTGCTGTGGGAGTCGATCCGTGCATTGATGAGCCCCTCCAGAATGAGCTGCGTGAGCTCGTCCTCCAGAGCTGCTACTGTGGTGTTGAAGGCCTGAGCCATTTTAGTCATGTCTGCTGACACGTAGGGGCTGAAATACTGAACAGACATGCACGTGCACACGCGCACACACACACACATACGCACCTGTCACATGTCTGTCATGCTATTAGACAGTATTTCATTTTTCTTCAAAACCTACTTTGTTTGAGAAAGCAGAATGAAGCTTCATAATATTAAATGTAATAGCAACAGTGATTTAAAGCAGCATGGATCATCGTCTGCTTCACAGGTAGAAGGTAGGAAGGCGGTGTACTCAGTCTGACTCACCTGAATGAGGGCTCTGTTCCTGATCTGGCTGTACAAGGTCTTGACGTGTGGGGCCAGGTACATGTCCAACAGGAGGTTATCCTGCAGGGGATACCACAGTCATTCATCTCAACACAGATT